TTTAGATGCCTCCGAAGAGGGTGTTGAGCGCAAGATGCGAATCGTCAATCCTAACGAATTTCTTGTATTCGTACTATCCTTTGGTGAAGTAATTGCAAGACGTCGTCTCCAAAAACCCGCTGTCGGTTCTACCTCCGGACCGAGGTGTACTTCATGAGATTGACCTGGTTCTGGGAGCCAAATACGACGTAACACGCCAATGGTCCCTGCCCAAGGAGCAGTGTGACGTTATTGACGCCTTTTTTCGTGCAGCTTGACATAGGAATGGTGCGTGAGAGCAAGTCTCCCCATTCGACACCCACTTTTTGTGTCCGGAAACCGAACGACAAGTGGCGTATCGTTCACGGTTACAATAAGCTAAACGCTGCCACCGATCCGGCACAGACGCCGATTCTTAGGAGGGATGTTCTCCAGACAACATGGTTGAATTGCCAAAGTACATTGCGCTCGGCTTGCTCGTTGAGTATTACCAATTGCTCGTGAGAACGAGTATTATGCTCCTTACAGTAATGAGTACACTCAGTAGCATGCTCTGGGAGTGGCTGGTGATGACCTAAGGGGTGCCAAATGCACTAGCAACATTTTATCGTCTTGCAACGCAGTTGTTCAGACCCCATCGGGCGTTTGCACAGACATTCTTCGACGATATCTTCGTCCACAGTCGTGTGGTGCACGGGAGGACAGATGAAGAGAACCACCTCGTCCATTTGTGAGCGGTGCTCGAGTGCATGCGCTAGAATAAGTTGTATGCTTATGCAGACAAGTGCATCTTTGGTGCCGAAGAAATCCGGTGCTTCATCGAGAAGCGTGGCGTTTGAGCGGATCCCGCTAGGGTCAAGGCCATCATAGACTTGCCGCTTTCAAAGAACAACTTGCGTCAGTGGCCTGGACTAGTCAACTAGTTGCACAAGTACATCAAGAACAGCGCAGAAATGGCAAAGCCGTCGTCGATGATTTCTTGAGAAGGATGCGGAATGATGTTAGGACACCGAGCATCACGAGGCTTTTGACAGAGTCAATGACAGCCTCCTTCATGCACCAATATGATCGTCCTTTCAGTGCCGTTTGGGACGCTTCGGACTTTGCCATCGGCTGTGCACTGCTGCAAGCAAACACCGAGGGCGAGATCGGGTGATCGCGTTCGAATCTCGCCAGCTCATGACTGCAGAGAAGAACTTCCCAGTTCATGACAAGGAATTCCTTTCGATGAAATATGTACTTGTCAAGTTCATGGTGCACCTGTTCGGCTCCATGCCGTTCGTGATCTTCACAGATCATGCTTCACAACGCACGGCGACTCGATCGCCTCCCCTCTCGCAGAGGATAACCAGGTGGCTCTCCTTCTTCGCAGAATATAACTTTGAGGTGAAGTATGACTCAGGAAAGCATAATGCTTTGGCTGATGCGTCGTCACGTAGACTAGATTATGAGCTTGCTCATGTCAATACAGTGACGTCGTCCGTGACAAATTTGATCCGTGCCGTGTACGCGGGTGATGTTATGTGCGTAGCACCGCTACAAGCTTTCAGAACCAAGGAGTTTGGGAGCCCGGACAAGAAGTTATCGTCGCGACTGCGTGTACAGTTGCACCTATTTTCATTGAATATGAATTGCTGTATTCTAGCACCGACTCGACGGATACGCCACGAATTGTAATTCTCACAATGACGATTTGAAGTACCGTATCCTCTATGAGGCCCACGATATCCAACACAGTAGTCATCTTGGTCGTGAATAGACCTACAGCTCAGTGAGTTACCACTACTGGCGGCCTAAGCTATAAAATGGACGAGCACCTATTTCCGCACGTGTGAGACGTGTCAAAGGGTGAAAACCTCTCTGAATGCGGCGGCGCCGTTGACCAGTTTACCGATACCCTCCAGGTGTTGGTAATCCAACACCTGGAGGGTATCGGTAAACTTTGCGTTTGATCTGCCGAAGGTCTCGGCGGGCCAAACGGGTGTCGTGGTCTTCGTCAACCATTTGAGCAAGAAGACTCATCTTGCGGCGGTCCCGGACACCTTTGGACGGTGACGGTATAGCGAGTTTATGGCTCCGAAAACCAATCACGCAAAATGGATTCCGTGCACCGATGGTGTCAAGCAGACTGTTCATAGCACAAGGCTGGCAGCTCACATTCTTTCCCTTTACCCTAATAGGTACGTACTCCGTTGCATACATGATGTGCCTATCACGATCAATCCAAACATCACACTCACCAAATCATTCTTTCCCTGTCGGGTGGCAAGGAACCACGATCGCATGCGAAATGCCTGGTTTGGCGGCGAGAACACTATTTAAAACTGCAGCTTCAGCTCCGTCCAAGAAGGTAACGCCGCTTCGACCGAAGTGCCGCACGTCAGTGCCCATTCTCAAGCTAGACCCCCGAGCTTGGCGATAACTAGCACCACGCGCTATTGCTCGGTCTGGATAATGACGGACGCCATGCCCATCTCGACCTCCCTCACCCAGAGCAGGTGATTCTCTCCGTCCTTGCCCATAAACGTCTTAACACTCACCATGAACGGCTTGGTCGGGGAAAGTCATTCGTAGCCGACGGTGGCGTCTTGGACGCAGTCGATGCCGACATCTTCTGCTGCAGGTGCTCTAGTAGAGCATTTTCATAGCTTGTAAACGCATCTAGGCCCGCGCTGATCGGTTCAGGTCCTTGCCAAGCAAGGTGTTGCGCGCCCTCAGGGCCAAGCAGAGACATCAGCTTTTTAGACCCGTCTTGCATGCCCTAGGGCAAAAAGGAAAATTGCTCCATCCTCACAGAGAGGTCAGTCGCAACGACTCAGATGTAGATTGACTACAAGTGTTACCAACTTCAGCAGGGCTGCCGTAGCTCTTTCGCTTAGAGAAAGCTTGGTATCGATCGGTGACCTTCGTTCTATACTTAGAACCAGTACGAGTGTAGTGGATCGTAATCCACTTACCCCAAGCTGTCACAGACCCTCATGACCAGTTGGTAATGTGTCGAGAGCACTGTACTACATAAACTCGACCGCTTTAATATGAAATATTTCCTCTTTAAGAATCAAAGTTTGCGTCAAATAGTGGCTACATCCTACTTTTGTAAACGCTCACAGCTCACCAACGGTGATAGGATAGAAATTTGAAGGCAAGTGGGCCGAATTACTCTGTCACACCAAAACCATTTTGTAACGGGGTTTCACTTGCCCTGGTAGGAAGAGTGTGGGTTACACAAGATGGTGTGACCACACATTGATCTGGCTTCACTGAAACAAGAAGTCAGTACGCGGCTGGACTGCCAGTAGTCATACATTTAATAAGGTTTTCTTTATCGATAGAAAAGCCTATAGATTTAGATATAGGCTTCTCTGCCAAACCTAAGTCACGCTTTAGTAGATACTTTCTGAATTAGATTACCATCTGCAACAATGAAAGCCTGGTACAGTATGCTTACGAAAGAATAACCCACCATATAAGAGCAAATTATGTAAGAACCAGACACCCGAAGCAAAAATCCAAGCGAAACAAAATGGGTGGACGATATATAATCACACGGCCCTAACAGCAATGGATGGAGATCCCGAACCGCAGTTTCAATAGCATGTATCAGAAAATTTCATTCGCAAAATGGCGTGCAGAAGCTTGACCTATAGCCAGAAGCACGAGCTGGTTGCCTATCACGAAAGAAGAACTCAACCCGTCGCCAGAATTTTGCTTCGTGAATACTATTCGAGTTCGGCAAGACCGATGGTCGTTTGACGTTTATCTGCGTCGTCTCGCGGTGGCGCTTAAACAACACAAATAATTGTCGAATGAGAAGCCATTGTCAGCCTCAATATCCAGACATAGAGCTGCTCTTGCCAAAGTTTGATCAGCTGCACCAAGCCTCCGCAACTCTAAGCTATTTGCTCTCTGAAAGAAAGCAAACGAGCTTTTCTTCCGCAAGACGTCTCGTACTCGTGAGTGCAGAAGTTCAAGCGGCGCTACAGCATTCGTTTGCGCACTGCATAAAGCAAATCCAGGTCTATGGATCTGGCCACGATCGACAGCATGTGCCGCGAGCTGCCGGCTTTGATTGAGGAGTATGAACTGCTGTATGAGACCAGCCTCTTCTTTAGCATGCTGTCCAGCCAGTAGTTATACATTCAATAAGATTTTTCTATATCGATAGGAAAACCTATAGCTTTAGATACAGGCGGCTTGCCGCAAATAAACCGAGAAATACAGTTTACATTTTAAACGGATGAAGTAATCAGCCTTAGGTTACGGCCGAACCTACTCTTGGAGAAAGTGGATTGCAGTCCGCTACACTCGTATTAGTTCTAAGAATAGAACGAAGGTTACCGACTTTAACCAAGCATCCTCTAAGCGAAATAGCTACGGCAGCCCCGCTGCACATTTGGTACTTCGAATGAAAGAAGCCTTTGGAAAATCACACTGTTTTTTGGCTCAAAACGTTATCGAATTGCGCAAAATCTGGATCCAGGAATATGATCAATCCAAGACGTACTCGCCGGTCCGCCATATTGGTACCTTTATCCTCTATCATGATATTTTTTTAAAGAATTACAAGAAGAATCGGAAGGATTGGAATTTTCGGTACAAATAGCCGTTTTAATTCTCATGCTCAGTGCTCTCCGAGTGTCCTCAAAAAAGGACTCAACAACGACGAATGATGATCTCGGCTCCTTTACTATAGCAATCGTACCATTATGATGACCTCACCACCTTGTGAAATTTTGCAAACACCCCTAATCTTGATGCATCTAGCTTTTTGCGAGCTTCTACCCTGGCAATAATTTCTTTGAGGACAACCACAATCGCTACCGTCACACTTAAGCAAAAAAACAAATCCATGCAGCTGCAATACTCCGAACCGCATGCGCATCACTCGCTGTTGCTGGCTCAGCTAAATCGTACACTGCGACAAAGATCGACCATCGTTATTGAATTCATAATACGGTCCTTCTACTCGTGAATTCCAGTTGCATTGGGTTTTCCTCGAGACTGGGAACAATTAGCTATACCTAAATAGCATCTTGCTGGAGCACTAGCTGCAAAGACATCGCTCTCGGCGACTGGGAAATAATATCCGCACCGATCGCGCCTGCTGCACAGTCGACTGACACTGTTGCTTGTCTCTTCTTGTCCTGGCAGCTGCCGCTGTCTACACCGATGAGACTTGGTGCTCTACGAGCGGTATCTAAAAGCCGTGCGCTAGGCTGAGAACGATGCATATTTTGGCATGGATGAGCCTAGCAAGATACGATCTGATCACAAACAGAACTACCTTCGAAGAGATGCACGGACTTTTGTTTGAACACGTGCCAGGTTGCGGTCGTCATCACCGCCGCTAGATTCACGACTCAAAACATACAACTTGAGCATGTTGAGGCGGGTGTTGAGCTCTCTGAAACAAAACTTGCCTCCGAGGAGGATGATCTCTTGGTGTTCCAGAAGGAAGCAAGCTTTGTCGGCCTTAATTTTGATGCGAAGAGAAACTCCCAGCATCTTGGCGTGCTGATTGCGCTGGTTTAAGGCCCTCCTCCTGCTGGACAGCTTGGTTGCCGTGGTCATTGGAAAAGGAAGTCAGGAACTTGTTGGGCGAGGTACGCTATAACGCTAGTCCGGTCTCGATTACCATCACGTAGCGTACTCTGGGCAGCTAATGCGAATGAGCTCCATAAAATCGTGGCGCAAGCGCACCCCAGTTTTTTACCGCTTCATACAGCGCATCGATGGCTATGATGTCTGCAGCAAGCCGTGTCGCCAATTCGACACACTCCTTCTCCGAAATTCCAACATGGACGCGTCAAATCTCCGTGGCCTTTTGTAGCGGTCGGTAGTTGTGTACCCTGTCCTGCGTCTGGATCTGCAGTCGCTTGGGTCGGCTACACACGAGGTTTTTTTTCGCGCGACAGGATTGTCATTCCATCATCGGTTGTGGGCGTGTATGTCGCTGACGACCGAGCTGTGTTCTTGGGTACAGCTGACAAAGAGCCAGAGCCACTGTCTTGGTTCATACCAGGAATTGTAGATCTGTTCTCGCTGCCCCGCATCGCTCGAATGAGGCTGGACAGTTGGGTTTTGGTACCATAGACGCAGGTTGCGCTGGACATCCTTTCACGTTACCCCCCCTTTGCTCGAAGGGAGATGGACAGTTGGGCACCTAGTGCCACTCTATGCTACAACAAGTGCTCAAGCTTGTTTATGCAAATCGACATCATCATGTCGTCAGCTTGGGCGGTGTCATGCTTGGTGACAGAGGAGAGTCCAGAAGCGGAACACTCTATAAAAAGAGACGCAACACTCCTGTTAACGACTTGCCTACTGCTTGATAAATTTCCAATGTCCGTAAATCCTTGGGGCTATAAGCCCGAAGAGTTGAGACCAATGGGCAGGCAATATATAAGCTGGTGTAGTAACCGACTGTACGGTGGCACGTTCCATCCTCGGTAAAATCTGTAGGGCGGAGAGTTTATGGATCCCGCGGAGCCTGAGTGCTTCCATATTCGACGTGAGGGTCGCCGGAACGCATAAGATACATATTTATATGTTTTCAAGCTAGCTGTGAAGCCAACAAATCACTTTTCATCGTGAGCAAATGTAAAATTGAGATATTGGCATCGTCGAACGGTCGGCGAGAGCTTCCTATGTGCGTAACACGCGGACTCTAATCAAATCTACTTTGTGCGAGGTGCGCGGAAACCCGGTTGTATGAGTAATCTTACTTACATTAAACTTTTATTTACAGGAATTGATTTTATCCTCGTCCAAATCGAGCGTGATGCGCCATGATCATGTACTCTATGCATTACTTGAGCCCAAAGGAATTCATCGACATATAATTAGCTACGAAATATCAAAGGTTCAACAATCAAAATGATGTACTCGTTACATGTGAAAATCATGATATGCAAAATCTTTTGAAATTGATGTTTCATAGTATCATGAAAATCAAAGATTTTGCGTATGATTTGAATATTTCCATACTTCTTGCTTCTGATCATAAGCTTTGTAATGTCAAAGCCGCCCTCAGATGTACCCTGTTGGGACTTCACCTGGATGGCGATCGCTGTGCAGAGCCTGGAGACCTACGAGGCCGCGCTCCAAACGACGGAGGTTTAACTCGCAGCTTAAATCTCTCTTAGCATCAACTGATGTCCTTATTTTCTCCATTAAAGATTCAAAGCTCAATAATTCTGGCGCTTAGCGAGCTGCTGCAGGCCCCAGAAGCTCATGTGATACAGCTACAAGAAATTTTTGACGTCTGTGTGTAATGTCATGCTCGGTATGTGTTTTTACCGTGAAAGTACTTACATTTTATCTCCTACATTAGTGCTGCAGATGATCGCGTTTCCTATTGACCCTGAATTACCCCAAGACACGGTGATAACGCTGCACTCGAATCGGGACTGGGCTATACAAACTCTTTTTGACATACCAGTGAATCAAACTGGGGATTTGAATGGAAATTTACTTCAGCTTCCGACCATGTCTCAGTCGCTACAGCTCATGAAAACCAAACTGTTCGTTTCGGGGCCATGTCGACTAGCAGACGTGCAAATGGATTTGAACGAATCCCTTTTAGCTGCATGTCGATGGGACGATAAGATAGTGCTTTTTGAAGTGCTTGAAATGTGCGCTACACTTTTAGATAACGATGAGCAGTTCCTTCACTTTGCGGAGGCGGTGTTGACTGCAGAAACAGAGGCGTTTTCTCTAGGCACAGCCTTCCTCCAACGACTGTTCAACCGACAATTAATGAAGCTTAGCTCAGATGAGCACTTAATCCAACAAAAACGACGTCTATTTGACGCTTTGACGATGGAGAGTAAAATTCGTGTGTGGGCAAATCACATCCCAAGCTGGCGTTCACATTTGCAATCAAGGATGCTAGACGCTCATGCGGCACCTTTTAAACCAATCACCTCTGTGTTATCCCCTGGATGGCAATTCCAAAGTTCCTCGAGTACGTATCAATTTGACGCAATGGTTTCCTGTCGTCGATACTCGCAACTGTATGTGACATTTGTCGAATGGTGTCGGGATCATGTGGACCTTTTTTCGTCCTGTCGTGGTATGGAGCTGGTTGGCATGTTATCGCATAGCACACGCTTACAAAATGCTGCTCATCTTTTTCGTCGACAGCTTTTGAATCAGATCCCGTTAGAAAGCCACTTAATTAACGGCTGGTCACGGAGCCAGCGAGACCAAGCTTTCGTCACGATAGGCTGCAATCTCAAGCGACTTCTAGCAACACGCGACGCATCAGATAGTGTATGGCAGTATGAGTGGATCGGATTGCTAGAACGGCCGTGGTTGTTGCATGAAGCACTGGACGCTGCGTTTTCTGGGGATATTAGCAGTACAGCACGACTCCAAGGCGGCGACGATACATCCGTGGTGCATAATGCAATACGTTTTATCAGCTGGTACTACTCTTTCATTACCGTAGAGTCGGCTCACGAAGTTGCCGCATTGCTCACGACGGTATCGTCAGAGCTGAAGGTATCCGATATTCGGGGTGGAGCTGTGTGGCTTCGACGGAATCGCGCTGAGTTTGGAAGTTTGACTATTCTGCGGCTCCGTCTTGTTTGGTTTTGGCTCTTAAAAAGTCTGGATAATTATATGCAAACAATCGATGAGAATGACACAACAGCGGCTGTGACGGATGTGCTTGAGTCAGTCGAGTATGTTTTTCGACGCTTCACGCCTTTGAGGACAAAGAGGTGAGCAGCTTTATTACAGCCATCGATTGTGAAGCAAATACTTACTTCTTTGCCTTCTTCAACATTATTGACAGGCTTTTTCAAGTAGAAGTTGGGGTGCAATTGCTTGTTGAACTCGAATGGCGTGCTGTGAGCTCGAACATACGGAAAATAGATATTTTTCTTGAAAGAATTGCGCCGTTGTGCGTTTGGTTAGCCAAGATCGTGCAGTTGATGCAACTTGAGGAGCAAAATACGCAATACAAAGACAATAGAAATCAGTTCAGCAAGCGTAAAAGCACAGCAAATGATGTGCAGCATCTAAACGAAAGACTCGCGCATTTAATCATGAACTTAAATGGTCGTGCTGCTTCTTCGCAACAAACGCCAACGTAGTAAGCTAAACACTTACACGTTGCCTTGATCTAACAAATAAAATCATTGCTTCAAAACACCATCTGCCTTCTGTATCTTTAGCGAGAAATCTAGACAAGGGTAGCCCTGTGTAAGTTTGCCTTGGCTGACAATAGCCACGTCAGGCGACACATACAGACTAAGCGTCTCCGGTGTAATACCACCACTGGCTTCTATCAGCAAGTGCGAAAACTGCTGTTTGAGAGCGGCAGCGGTGGCTTTAAGATGCTCGGGCTCGAAGTTATCAAGCATGACAATGTCAGCACCGGCCTCGGCAGCTTCTTGCGCTTCCTCGAAACAGCGGCACTCGACCTCGATCTTCATTGAAAAGCCAGCTGCCAACCTGGCCTTATGCACAGCTTTGGTGATGCTGCCAGCTACCCAAACGTGATTATCCTTAAGCATCACCATGTGCGACAGGTCGTGGCGGTGTGTCGAGGCTCCGGCAACTAGAAGTGCGTACTTTTCGACAAGGCGGAAACCTGGTGTCGTCTTTCGAGTGCCAGCCACGTAGCCGTTCCATCCAAGAGCGCGCGCCTCTTTTACAGATTTTTGGGCCTGTGTGGCGACGCCACTAGCGCGAGTGAGGATGTTAAGAGCCGTACGCTCACCCAGTAGCAGCTGACGACACTTTCCTGTTACTTTAGCTACTGGCACTTTACCACCCGGAACGCTGTTGGGTTTCACTTCATCCCCTTCGTGTATCAGCCACTCTACCTGGCAACCTAGCGAGCGAAAAACTTCTGTAAAGAACGGAACACCAGCCAGCACACCCTCTGATTTGCCAATTAATAGTGCCGTCTCCTCAGTTTCTGTAGGGCATCAGAATAAAAGTAAGAATTCGCAATACGATGGGAGATCATTCCAAGTGCAAAAAGAACGCACCGCCGACCACAAAGCCGCCGACGTCAAAGGACGGAATATCGTCCTCAAGCCAAAGCTGGACATGCTTGGTCCAGGTCGGGGGCAGCAGGTGTGCGAAGTTGCTCATTTCAGCCATACTATTTTTTCCAAATGTATCTATTGATAATGGAAATTGTGCAACATAGTCCCAAGGAACGGCTTTCTATGTAGAACAGAAGCAACTTTGTCACACACTTTTATGCACTGTTCATCCATAGTAAAAGCTTTATTGATTGATGGCCGCCCATTTAAGCAAAACACGTGCATAATAATTACGGCTATTATCACAGCCTGTTTGCGAAAAAAACTTCTTTGTGTTGACATCACAAGAGCCAATTAGATTTGCGCCGCCAGTGAGTCCACACTTCTGTCGATCTTGAAGTGGCAACCAAATCAATCGGCAAATCGGGTGTTTCACACACCAGTGTGGAAGTGCGCCACACAGTGGGACTTGGCTTGGCTTAGAGCGATCCTTCCTTGTTGTTGAAGGCATCCATACTCACGCCAAGTACAGCCCCAGAATCCGCACCAGTCACTCGCACTGTAACCACCGAGGCCAAGGTAGTGTGCGGAAGTGGACGAGAAGGCAGTGCGTGCTTCTCCATCCGACTTTAAAGATCTTAAAACATTGATCCTCTCTTTCACTTTCCAGCCCACCCACCCACCACCTTTGCCATGGCGGCGTACCCTAACAGCGACATTGACAGCGACGACCATCACTCTCCTGGTCCGTGCGACGTGTGCGGAACTACCACCGCCGCGCTACGCTGTGAGGCCTGTCATCTTGATTTGTGCGTCACTTGTTCTCGTGCTCGTCATCTCAGTAGTCTGCATCTGACTACGGGTCGATTCCGCTTCTACCGACAAGAAGACCCGGTTCAGGAGAAGGACGAGTCCCCGTCTACGACTTCGCCGCCCGATTCGCCCGCGGCTAAGACATTACCACGTTCACCCAAAACGGTTAACAGCAATGCTCTCTGGGGCTTTGAAAATACGTTGGTGCAGTCGCTACGCGCGCTAACTTTCGCTTCAGGCGAAGAGATCAGCCTTGACTCAGCCTCGTCAACTGCTGCGACAACGACGACAGTTGTGGAAAGGCGTCCACGCAGCTTTTCGGACTACGCGGCACTAACTGATACTGAGCGTTGGCGGGCACTGAGAGGACCAACCGAACTCCGGGAGCTTTGGGACGCCATGAGGACGGATATTGCATCTCGCCACGTGGTTGTGCGCTGCATTGCTGGTGCATGGAACGTGCTAGATGTGCGCCGCATCGTAGACCGACTTCAAGTACGGTGAACAACCGATTAGATTGTGACATTTTTAGTCAGTGAATTTGACTGGTTTTATTTTGGCAGAGCTTTGGTAGTGTTGCAAGCACGCGTCGTGAGTTGACTGAAAATGGATTGCTCTTCTGCACCTTTTTCGACCTCTCAAGTGCAGTAACAGCAGTCAATTGCTGGCGCGCCGGCACTGACATTCTCAGTTTTTGTCTGCCGTACGAATTGCCAAATGACGTCAACTCAGCAACACTACTCGTGCACTTTGCACATTATGGATCGGCCATAACACCTGCCGAGATACACCGGGTTTGCACATTTTTTGGACATGTAGCGAGTGTTTTGCAGCCTGAAGTGCAAGCAGCTAAGTACATTGTCGAGTACAGTGACTCGCGTGTGATATCGGTGGCACTTAATGGTCTTCCACGTGCTTTTGACGTGTATGGGTCGCTTTCCGTGGCGCGCACTACGCCGCCGACATTGGATGTCTCTAAACTTCAACTTTTTTATGAGTTTTTGAATCGAGCAGCAATCACACACTCACGAGCGACTCGATCCCGCCACAAAAGCTTTTCATCGAACAGCACGTCACTTCTGACATCGCCGACGTCGCCAACGTCGTCGGTCGCGTCATCGCTTAACGCATCATTTTTAGATTGTGCTGGTAACAATAGTCCGATGGCATCCACAACCTCGATGACGTACCCTGGCGCCGGAGAGCTCACATCTCCGGTATTGATGCCTCAAGATGAACAGCAAATTTGGGCGCGACAGTTGCCTCGAGCCAGGAGTAATTCGTCATCAGCTTATCTTGATAGGTCGTTTTCTTCCAGTACGTTTGGCGATTCGACGTATTCCAACAGATTTATACTCTCATCGTCTAGCACGTTGTTGAGTCGAACCAACGATTACTCGTCTTTTCGAACCGTTCCTCCATTGCAATCTTCTAATAATCAGATCTCTTCTTTCATCACAGAGCAACAGCAGCAATCGTTTTACGACTTACAAGGACATCAATCCAAATTTATTTCTATGAGATACAGCAATGGTAACAACGATCGTTGTGTTCGACCAAGTGCTGCATATAGTGGTAATTCTGCTCATGGCTCTACAAGACGCCACACAACTGGGCGACATGATCAAGGCACCGGCGAGTTTAGCTTGTCGATTGAGAAAGTTGCATCGGGCACAGACAAACGGACGACTTTAATGATTCGCAACATCCCCAATAAATATACTCAACAAATGCTGCTTGCCGAGATCAATAGCAACCATCGCGGCAATTACGATTTTTTTTACTTACCCATTGACTTTAAGAACAAGTGCAACATGGGCTACGCATTTATCAACTTCATTGAGGCAGCGCACATCGAATTGTTTCACAAGAATTTTAACGGCCAAAAGTGGACCAATTTTAACAGTGAAAAGGTCTGCGCCATATCGTATGCGCGTTTACAGGGTAAACAAGCAATGGTCGCGCGATTTCAAAATTCGAGTTTGCTGGACAAACGCGAAAGCTATCGCCCGCTGGTTTTCTGCAGTTCCGGTCCGAATAGAGGCCAACCGGAAACATTTCCAGCCCTCAAGCAGATTGCTAATAAAAAGCTTTCACATACGTTAGGAACGTTTGGAGTTGACGACTATGGCGGCAGCTACGCAGCTCATCGAATGCACTTGCACCCTCCATCTCAACAGCACATGCAACTACAACAATTGTATCCTCAGCAACTGTTTGGGATACGTCAGCATGCCATGCCCCCTCTACCGATAGCCAATGGGCACCATGGCATGCAGATTTTACCGCTACATTACATTTCCTCGTACCAGCCGGACGACTTACAAATGGCATCGTCGTTTTTGTACGGGGTACCTGGGATGCCGTCAAATGCGTTGGAAAACACACACTGAGACATTGAGTGACTTATATCGTGCCTGCTTTCTATTATTTGGTTAAGCGCTCGTATGCTCCTTTTTGCCTTGCTAATTTTTTTTTGAAAATAGTTTGTTTCTTACTTCGATTATGGCGGTAGAGCCTATGTCAAATAGTTCGCATATAAAATAGCTACTAAGTAAAGCGACGTGGCTACGTCATCAATAACGAAGCCACATTAGCTGCTCACGAGGCAAAAAGGAATCGCAAATCCTCTTCAGTAAGGCGACAAATAGCGCTAACATTACCCCCAACGGTTCCATCAAAAATCAATTGCTTCTTCTCCTGCAACTTCAAAATTCGTTCCTCAACTGTACCAGCAATGATAAAACGAGTGGCCTGAACGGGCTTAAACTGCCCCAATCGATGCGTTCGATCGATAGCTTGATTTTCAGCCGCAGGATTCCACCACGGATCCATCAGAAAAATACTGCAAACAATGACATACAAATCATAAGAAAAATTCAACTCGCGTATGCACACGACACTTAAAACTTACTGCGACGCCACGGTCAGATTAAGGGCGACACCGCCGGCCTTCAGACTGATCAAAAATGCAGTTACGGATGGGTCGTCTCGAAAAGCTGTGATCATTCGGTCCCGAACACTCATGCTCATGTTGCCGGAAAGTTTGACGCATTTGACCCCACCGAGTTGGAGACGGTGCTGAATAAGATCAAGCATGTTGACAAATTGCGAAAAGATGATCGCCTTACCAGACGGATCACGTAAGCGCATGAGCTCCAGTTCTTGCATTAGAGCCTCGACCTTGGTGCTGGACTGAAATGCGTTTATGTCGGAGACTCGGTGAAGAATGCTGTTTTTATGGAAACTAGCTAGACTTACAGTCTTAGGTAACCGATTGCTCGACGTGCTAAACTCATTTTCGAGAGATTTTTCAGCTCTTGTAACCTTTTCCACAGGAAAAGAAAGGTCGACCGTCAGCGGCTTTGAGCATGTTGGACAAGTCGCTTCGCCACCAGTTGGAAGCGACTCAATGAACTCCCTCACACACTCACGACAGGATTCGTGTCCACACTTTGCGACTACGCCGTCTTCCACAGATTCGTGACATATCATACACAATCGATTGTCATCAGAAGAAGCACATTCAATCAAATCTATAGGCAGCTCTTCCACCAATGGTGCAGCTTGAATTGGCAGCTGAAGTGCCGGATTGGACTTTGAGTAAATAACTAGATATGGATGGTCGACGGCCTGACGAAGTCGTATGAGTAGGTCAAAGATGTGGGCATAGTTGTTGAGCAATGTCCCCGACGACACGTAAGTGTTAAATTGTGCTTGGCTCTGTGTGTAAATCGCTTCATAGAAGTCATTTTCCCGCTCATCTAATCTATCCTTTCGAATGCGCACTAGTTTAGGAGGTAGAGAAATGTCATCTGCGCGTCCTTCTTTCGTTCGGCGAAGTAAAATCTGCAAAAATTGCACTTTTAAGATAACTGTAGGTTACTTTACAGGAAACAGAATTTCGTACGTGCTGGAGGACTTCATTATATAACCTTTGCATTGCAAGCTTTCCCTCACCAACGTAGCCGTATGCTTGAATCGGAATCACGATTTTTTTATTGAAAAATGAGTAATGCTGGATTGCGGGATGAGTACATTGCGCACATTTTCTGTTTGGAAAACTACATCAAAGCAACAACTGTCGCGTCAGAGATAACGCACATCAATAAATGCCTTAATGACACATACTTATAGTCCAGCATTTGACAATCACATGTATTGCAATGGTAATATGCGTATTTCTTCACTTGAAGAAACCGAACAAGTGAGAACAACTCGCCAATTCGATTCTGTAATGGAGTGCCTGTGCAAGAAAGCAGTAGTAATAAGTAAGCACCCATTTCCACATCTGTACATAGTCATTCCACACCTGACAAGCACCACTTGTATGTTGACTTCAACTCGAAAACACCTCGGGCAGTATTGCAATTTCGGTCTTTGATATAGTGTGCCTCGTCCAAAACAATACGCGTCCACTTGATCTGGTGTAGTGGTGACTTTCCTTTAGTTTTGTCAATGGATACGTCCTTACTATCGTCAGTCTTTTTTGTACGTGAATACACTCGTCCTTTATTTTTTCGCAGTGAATTCTTGAGAAAATCTTGATCATCGTCTTCACTGGTTTCACCGGCAGCTTTCTTACGCGTTTTCTTATTTTGTTGCTTACCCTGCAAAGCTGTTTTCTTCGCATTCGGCCCGCAGAAGTACTTATTGTGTGATTCCAACTTATCCGGCAAATATTTTTTTCCACAGTATTTGCAGGCAACTTTTGACCAGCCAAGCGTTTTGCGAATCTCACTTTCAATGATACTGTATGTTGTCAGCACAATGTCGTACGACGCAATGCTTTTTACGGAATCTATACGTTTACCTCCATGATGAATATACACAGATAAATGACCAGGAGCCACAAACCGCTCAATCTCACTTTTCCACTGCATGACAGCAACAAGAGGACAAACTACAAGTGTACCGCCCACCATCGACGAGGATTTCTTGCTTCCTGATCCAACCTCCCGAACATTTTCAAGTAGGAGTGAAATAGTCTGTAAAGTCTTTCCCATTCCCATTTCATCAGCAAGAATGCCGCCTTTGTAGTCACTCGCCTCTTGCTCAACCATCCAAGCCAGAGCTTCTCGTTGATACGGGAGAAGTGTAGCTGTCAAGTACTTTGACGGCTGCTTTTCAGGCATGCGGCCCTTTTTTATAAAATGATCGTCTGTGAGCGGAAGACGCTCATCCATCACACCATCTACGTCGTTCTTTGCCATGTATTCACAAACAAACTCCTGATCAGCAGTCTCTAGTCTGGATAAGCGATCGATTGGATCGTGCGTTTTTGTCTTCAAAGGACGTGACTCGTCCTTTACTTCAGCGTCAAGTTGAGCTTGCTTGGCAGCAAGTCCAACCTTTAGTCCGATCGCGGTACACTCCAAGTGCTGCCAACCCAAACATAAATTGCATTGCTTCGCACATGTATTGAGCCGAAAAAACAAAACGTACTTTATAGTATGTAGTATCACCAAAGATTGAATGACGGATATTGACGCCTACACGGAGCTGGCCGGCCAAAAGCCTTCGTTCGCAACTTTTGCACTACAAAAGCAGTTAGACTTATTGGTAATGACCACAGTGCAAAGAAACCCCACCTTTGCTCTAGCATTCGGTGCGTATTCTATAAAATAGTGTGGACCATCATACACATCCTCCGATCCATCGCTTGCGTCAACAACGTCAATATCTAGCGAGTCAGCGTCGCTTCTCGTGCCGCTATCGTTAGTTGTTGGAATAGTTGTATGTGCGATAGAAGCAGACAATGGTTCCTCTGTCACCTTCACCTTCCTTCTTGACTTTCCCTTCCCGCCACTGCGCTGGTTTGCAGAAGTTTTCTTCACAACTAAGCGTCTTCTTGGCGCATGTGGAAGTTGTTCATCCTCTGAACCCTCCAACTCCACTTTGTCGACATCTCCCTCAGAAATACTCTCGTCAACAAAATCACTATCCTCATCATCATCATCATCGCCTTCATCACTTATATCAGTTGTTGCCACACGAAACACAGCGCGACGGGCCGTGCGACCATCCAATCGAGGCTTAACTGATAATGGGGCCTTAACCTTCTCGTTCATGAGATCCTTACCATTCCGAGGCCTCAACATTGTCTTCACAACGGGCGTTTTGTCCATCATGTCATTGTCTTGCTCCTGAGTGGGTCTCGTGGCCCCTTGACGTCTCTTATGCATTAGCTGTCCAGCGTGCACTTCATCTCGTCTCTTTCTCTTACCAAGAGACGCAACCTTCTTTTCCTTTTCATCCCCCACACAGTCCGAACATCGCCAAGCGTCTGCCAGAACGGGTCGGCGACGCAGCGGAGGCGTAAGGCATCCCAGATGAAAGAGCTTCGTGCAGTCCATACAGCTAATTGTTACACGTTGCGAATGCTCTTCGCATACTGTGCACACATTCATATTTACATTCGTGATTGGGTCCCCTGACTCGGACTCAGCTTTGCTGCGAGCTTGTCTTGCCATCGGTTTCAGCTTTGCTCTTTACTTCAATTTGCAAACTAATGTCTCTCAACTGTGAAATAATCAGAAAAAGGTAACTTTTTGGCGGGGATGGAAATCAAACTTGGTCACTTGGCGCCAGCACTGGTTTTAGAATATTCTCTTAGACTTCACCATACAATACCATTCCTTAAGAAGTAAACAATAATATTACAAATTTACAATGTGGAATTGCGTTATTACAGCAGCTGTGTAACGAAGCGAGCTGGCTTTTCAGACTACACTACATGTGAAAGGTCGAGGCTTGTTTAGCAAAATCGAAGTGCTAAATGAAACCATGTATTAACTTTCTACTAAAAAAACATGAGCGTGTCATCGTCATCATTGAGATTAATTTTCGTGTGGCCTAAAAGGGCTTTATGATAAGCATCAATGAAAAACGATAGTGACGAAGGCTCCTTCCGCCATGACTACCCAAACAACATTTGTAATATATACTTGCTGGAATGACGACTTCACGAAAACCGAAAAACGTAACTCACATTACTATCTGCTAGCACGAAAAAAATTTGATCCATACATGCTATCGATGTCCAAAATTTCATGTAAATCGTCTTCATATGCGAGAATTTGAGCCTTGTCATCGGTCTGAAGATCCTAGATACGCAGCTGCTATTCAAGCCATGTCAAGACTAAACTTCCAGTATAACCACGTCTGCTGTTCGAGATCGTATCTGATGCATTCAGATTCAATTTTGGCCTTCATTGGATTCTGCTCAGTTGAGCCATGACATGCTAGTCTCCTCATGCGCTGGTAATGAGTCAGCATTCAAATCTTTTTTGGCTGAGCTCATTTAGCGGACCTTCAATGTGGGTAGTTGTTAGAATATGCACTGATACGGATAACTCCAACCCATCAAGAATATTGTAGGTCGAATTTTTCGTTTGACCAAAAATACCAGATAATCCAAGTTCACTGCTTGCCTAGTGTAAGCAAACTGTATGTGATCCTGTCATTGGGCGTGTTGTACGTCTACATTACCTTGCCGTCCTTCGGACTACGAAGCGAAACTGAGAAGCACCAACGGTGAGTTTCATGATGTAGTGTCATGATTCATACTTGGGTCGGATAAAAAAGAGGCACAGCACTCTCACGTGGGCTGTCTCTTTCGCGCAATGCGCTTAAAACGTTTTATGATAAAGATATGTGCATAGTTTCACTTTAGCTCTTCAATTAAGCACATCTTGTTTTAAGTAACTGATTCTTACTCTTGGGACGGCATTTGTGTGTTTTACTTTACGCGAACTAAATGCAAGTGTGAGCGACAGCCCGTTGCACTAAACGTTAAAAGATAAAAAATACAAAATCCGGCGGGAGCTGTGAGGATGGAAACGAGACTTCCACATATCTGGCCCTGGGGAAACCGATGAGGTGATAGCAAAATTTGTGGCCCATGACCCGAAAGCGGTTACAATGTTTCTATCTGCGCTCTCTGGGATTGAAAATGCGCTGATGAGACACTTTTGAGAGAGTATTGGCTAGATGGTGGTGGAACATCACCGATTTCTAGGGAGCTAGCTATGTTAAGCGCGACAGCTATTGCTGAGCTTTGCGAGTTTCGAAAGAAAAGACGAGGAGAATCAATTTTTTGGATACGATAATTGATCTGGCCACGGACTTGGACCTGCTCCAAATTGCCACCAGCACGTCGTATTAGCAATTCAAGCTAGGATATCACTCATGAAAATCGGCACTTAGTTTTAATTCTTCTGTCAGCAAGATAATCTCATCAGTAGATGATTACTGAAGCGACAAATGACGCGAGTAATCGCGTCGCTTGATCAAGCTTACTCGTGCAATTAAAATTATTATCCATAGATTTACCCTGTAAGCGTTGAAACTCGCATAATTGGGGTGTTAGCTTATCCTCTTCCAGGAGTATTTACAATTATCAAATTCATGGCTATATTTCGTAGAGGATACTCGCACCGAAGCCTTTAGCGTTCGTTCAACCAATTTAAAAACGTCAGGAATCACATTGAATGCGGAAGGCAATTATCGATGTGAATGGGTAAATTGGGGTACATTGGGTGTGGAGGTGCTGTGACTGCGCCAACCCGGCCACGATGGTATTCGCAGGAGATGGCTGCTAAACAACTTTGCCCCATGTTCCCTTTTTTCTCGATCAAGAATTACGACAGGTCTAGCTTTAGACTTTACGTGAAGGGTAGAACTCGCGCGAGGAAAGTGGCCGCAAGGAGTCTTACTGAGATAGATCAGAGTTCTTTTGAACCTAGTCGAGGTTGAAATCAGTATAAATCAGCCCAAAAGAAGTGGATGGGTACGGCTCACGACCAAGGTTGTCGGTTATGAGTAATTAATATCCTACCAGTCTTGAAGGCTCTGATAGATTAAACGGCATCGTGCAATTACAAGCAGCGCACAACTGCTGAGAAGTAGAGAATAATTCTCATTCAGAATACTGAGTGTTGATACAATACCTGTGCGTTTCGCAACGGGAACAGTGACTTTAGAGTAAGAAAAATTGCCGAAATTCCATTTGAAGTTGTAAAACTTTGGCGGCGCTAACGCAAGACCCATATTCCGAGTACGTCCCAGATAGAACCTGGCTGGAACCACATAAGCCATGGATCGACGATCGACCGAGGACCAGAAAATTTCAGAGCTATGTATGTCTTCTCCAGCGGAGCTTTCGTGAGCCATGTATCTACCTCTGCCAGAAGTACAGTACTTTTGGCGCAATCACAAAGCTGCGAACTTCGGTGCAATGTGGGAATTTACGCAGCAACGTAGCCAGAAGCAATGAGCAAAGCTCAAAAGTCATAGCGGCTGTCGGCCGTGGTCTTTACAGTGTGTCTTCCAAATACCAGCGAGTGAATGCCGTCAGCTCCACTTTGCACATCTGCAAAGACAAGAATAAGTGAGCGTGTGTCGCGGTCTCCAGTTGTTGATCACTTTTGACACGTTCATTGAGATATTACTTCTGGTAAGACAAGAGAGGGGAACTGCAGCGGGGCTGCCGTAGCAAAACGCTTGAGGAAGCGTACTTTACGTCACAGACCTTTCGTTCTTTACAAGAACCAAGTATGAATCAGCAGATCGCAATCCGCTTACCCTAAGATTGATTATTGCCTTCCCAAGGCTAATCGACTCTTCGGTTAAATTCCAAACTGCCTTTTAATCTTGATTTTCAAATTTTTTTCCTTAATACACTAAATATATATAGTAAAATCTAAATACATGCATAACTACTGGCTACCTAGCCCCGTACCGTATTCTTGTTTGGTATGTGGTCACATCATGCACATCTCGTGTGACACCTTGTTATTAGGGTTCGTGTAACCCCGTTACAGAAACGGTAAGTCCCTTTTTCTGTGGCTTGACCCTGTATTTCAGTCCCTACATTTGCGGCCTTTCAAAACACGCGTCCTGTAATACTGGTATTGTCATATCTGCAAACCTTTGATCAAGAAAGCTCATCTCGTTGCTGTCAGCGATACTGTGACCGGTAAGGATGCCGCCAAACCGTTCTTTGTCGTACTTTTTAGCCAACATGGCACACTAGCTATTGTACATGATATAGATCTGCGCATTAAAACTAAATTTTGGCAAACTTTGGTTGAGGTGCTAGGCATAAAAATGAACACATTGTCTGCTGACTATCTATCGACATATGGGAGTCGGAACGTGCTGATTGCGTTTTAGAGGATGTTGCGCAATGCTTTTGCGTAGAGAGAGCGCGGCGCTGGAGCGGGTCGCGCCCACCCAATGAATGATTTGATAAGCGTATCTGATGCCTCTAGACACTTATAGCATTTTATATAGATAGTTTAGCTAACTTTTGGGTGCCTTCTCAAGTGTCATTCCCATCCGAAGCACCAGAGAACAGTGCTCTTAGCAAACTCTCGCTGAGCACGATGAATCAGTAATGTTGGTTCCACCCGAAAGTCCGAATTCCACTCTTCAGTTACTGCGACAACCATAAAGAGCGTCTGCCAATTAGTTTATGACTAATCATAAATAAATAGGAAAGCGGATGCGCAGTGGAACCGACTTGGTCAACGTGCTCATAAAGAGTAGACCAAACCCTCTTATGTGTTGTGTCGAACAACTGCGTTTACATGCTCGGTAAAATCTAGGTGAATTACGACTGTCAGCACTTTCCATGCTGCCAGATCGTACTTCACGAGGTGAAGGCTCAAGCGAGTCGAAGGAAGGAAGCCATTCACCAGACCCTCACCAGCGTTGTGAAGACAGAGAGGCGAGCGCATGTCCAAGCCATTGTTGCAGCAAGATATAACCGCCATCAGCTTGCATGTCAGCGACGTGGCAAATCTGAAAAACGGCCATCTGTTACTTGAAAACTGCCTTCAGTGGCATAGCGTCTCTGATCTCCAAGAGACCAAGTTGCGCGACTGGCATTACCTCGACAATCTTAAGTTCAGCTTCTGATTCCTACATAAGCTCTTTAACAGCGATCCGGATGTCACAGCGTAGTTTAGACTACCGTTTGACCCGGTATAGCACCTACTGTGCACCGCTTGGATTGCCCAAACTTCGACACAGTGGAGGGGCTTTCCGATCTGAATATCCCAGGATATCATTACCTAGTAGTCCAGGTGTTGGTTGGGGATGCCCCAGTGTACATTAGCAAAGTCTTATTTTTGTCGACGACTTTGACAAGAAATCCGACCACTAAATCTAAGCATTGACTTGTCTTGGCCTCTGCTCTGCGCTTGCCCTGGTACAACGCATGCCTCGGCTGGCTCAGCTCGAAGTGGCGAATTCTTGGCGGATCAATCATCACGACGGGCTGTTGTTTGAAAAGCCCCAGCTACACAAGAACCAAATCCACTTCATCCTGATACCTGAAAACTTCGGCAACGCAATGTTTGTCGATACCATAAACTTCGAGCCCTAGGGTGCAGATGACTACTTGGCGCGCCGAATATCACATGCCCCAGTTGCAGGGTCGCGGCTACTAGAAGTTCCCAGTATACATACTCAAATACTCACAGGTGGTGTATCATACGATGGATCATTGTATACTAGCAGGATCACTGTATATAATAGGTGACTGAAAAGACGCCCTGTCCAATTCAAATAATATCGACACTTTAAATTTTATTAAAAACCAATAAAACGCTAGTAGCTCATGCGTCCCGCAGACCTCTCTTTTTTGATATATAATCATTGCAATCTTGCACCAAGTACAGCCTTGCTCTAAATCGGAGTAATTATGTACATACACCACAAGATAAAACGGAAGTCGTTACACGCCCCACCACTTGCCTTGCTCTTGGCCTATCCTGAACGCAAATTTTCCTATTTGCAGGCAAGTCTGGCCTCACCAAAAATCATTCTATTCGCCGATTAACCTTGTCCCAAAGCATAATGTTACCATATCTCAGTGTGAACTGTAAGCGAGCCATCGCGCGGGGAGTACCGCCCCTACTACACCCTTCAAGCTTAAGTTTCAAGAACAACCATCGCGCCTAAATTCTCATTTCAGCGATTATGTAAGAGCATGATTATAAGATCCATCAAGAAAGATTTGGCCCTTATGGCCGACGTCATAAAGGCCTTCTAGGCGATAGTTTCTCAGTTAAAAGCACCAGGTTAACGTAACAAGTATCGACGCAACAACATCGCCTTCTTGAAAGATATTGTTACCGTTCATTTTGATGTTCAGTACGAATGAATTGGGCTTTGAACATCCATAATGTTTATATTCGCCTTCGTGGACAACACTGCGCACCGTCAATCTGGCGGGAAGATGGAAATACAAAGATGTTGCATCGATAGCCATGAGCTCGACCGAGCTCAACGAGTCCACACATAAGCCTTGTTAAATAAAGCCTAGTTGATATACTACTCTGCATGCAAAATCGGATAGAATAGACAGCAGATAGTATAATCGCTTAATGTTTGAACTTGCGAGCGACAATGCGTTTCGTCGACGTCGAGGCCGCACTCACCCTAACCTTTCGTTTGTGCTACCAACCACCGTGCTACTCCCTGTAGGCATGCTAGTACATAAATTGTTCAAGTCTCGAGCTAAAAAAGGCCGTGCTTCGCGAAGGAAGGCGGATGTGACGCGTAGTGGTGTCTCTTGCGCTGGGCTAGCATAAAGTTCCAGTTAGCTACGTCGGTGCAATCGCGCAAAAGTAGAGTTTCATTTTATCGAGAAATCTTGAATTGATCATTACTTTCAGATACCGCTTACACCATTATCAAACACGCTGGACCATAATCCGTTCCACATAGCAACTTTCACCCTGCTTGTCAAACAAAGGCAGCGAAGGACGACCCTCACGTGGCTAATTTTTGTGAGCTTATCGCATCGTGGTGACGTGCCGATCATCTTTGGTTGGTGCAAACATGGACCAGTAACAGTAACAACACACTTGCGGAGCTGCACAATTGTACTGACTGGCTTAAGTCACCTCAACTCAACCAGGATCGCCACTAAAGGCAGAAGGAAGATAAGCTGTAGGGACTAGAAAAGCAAATTTTGTGCTCATCACTTCACGTCACTTTTCAGTGATTCACGAGAAGGAGCGGCTTCTGTAAGCACACATGAAACACCAGATGATTTTGCAATACCATCGAGAAACTCGAGTGTAGCTGAATTGCTTTCTAGCAACAATTGTAAGTATTTAGAAATATTAAGTGCCCAACTATGTCTTCTATGCATTTGTAGCAAGGTTGACAGCGTTTTTTTCTCTTTATTACCCTTTCAAATTCATGTGTGATTTGATTTCTTTCGCATCTGCATGTTGCTTTATGGCTTCAGCATAGCAGCGCACGATGACCTATATATTGCAATTGGTATCAAAGTCTTCCAACTGGTACTTAATCTCTAGAAGCGTATTCGACGGAAACGTGATGAGTGGATACAGGTTACTTTAGTACTGCTGTTTGTTCTTCAGAGGATACTTTGCCACGTGATTAAAGTGTATTGTCTGGTCATGCTTCTGGATAAAGCATTTAATTATTATGTTAAGCGGTTCAGTAAAATAAGCTCAAATTTTGTCTAAATGCGCGGATCTCAATCCGAGTCAGTAAGCACACGCACGATGCATTTCAAAGTATTTAAAAAAAGGGTTGGCTAAACCTCACGAGAGCCGCTCTTGCAAAACGAGCCATCGTGTTCGGACGGTACATAACGATCACTACGCCTTTATACCTCCAAGCTGATAAGTTGTCACAGCATGGAGAGCTTCAATTTTTTGAAACGCGTTATACACATGCAAAAATGAGTACTTGCCCAACGTCACACACGAAGAAAGTGTCCACCTGACCGAATGTTCTTCCTTACCGGAATGACCACCAGGAGAGATGACGTCTACCCAAAATATTCTGTCCATGAAATCTTCATCGTTAGGTATTGTGTGTCTAGTTGGGTCGTGCTGATATACAGAAATCATTACGACAATGAAAGCGGTGAAAATGCACGCTCGAATCTTAAGATAAAAAAAGATTTCTCGCTCATGTACTTCATACGTTCCAGCGGCCTTAAAAGCACAAAACATCTGATGTCTGATACCAACGCCCACGTTTGGCATCACCGACGCAACGTCGTTCGATAATATCTATCTGGGTGACGCAAAAGCATATTCGCCACCACATCATGCCGATCGTTTCGAATCTCATCTTTAATAAACATCTGGCCACTAAAGATAATCATCTTGTCATTATCTGCAGGAGACGTGATGACAATGTCGTCATACATAATATAAATTACGCATATCTGTATAAATACATCCCGGGTTGGCCTACCCTGAACTTGCAGGGGCATAATTAATAGCATGTATCTTCTCGTAAGAAGGTGTGTAGCTGTTGTCTGCCGCTTTAAAGCTAGCAAGGCTCAAACGCGATGACACGTTTATGATCATCGGTATTTACCTGGACAAAGAGCAACTGACGAACAGTTACAAGTGAGGCAAATAGTCGTTCTGAATCTGCACGACAATAATTAGGGCACTTCTGAGACTTTTGTTACGGCCCTGACGGCCATCTCATCTACCATGATCAACTTATCTAACGTGCATTCTGACAGTATTGATGAAGAGCCGTGTCCTATCGGTATAATTTGCTTTATTCATATGTAAACAGATGACCCAGCTTTAAAAAAAATGGTATTGATCGATCTGCTATGGCCTTGATCTTTGCCGAATTACCCGATTGAGAGTTCCAGCAATAGGATCCTAACAGCACTATGAATGTATCAGTTGTAACCTAAAGGCTATGCTTTCGAGCACAGCCAGCAAGTGTTCAATACGAATGACCATATTTAAGATTTGTGCTCTTGAAAAATAAACGAACATTACGTTAAATATACAGACGACGCTACTTTGATAGCTAAGTCACCGTTCCGTTAAAAGTCCCTGTAACGGGGTTGCGATGCACAATGCACAAAGAAAGCTGACTTTTTCAATCCTCGATAGTTAGTGAGCAGAAAATTGGCCCGTGTGCTCCAATCAAGAATGGAACGGCGAATTGAAACTGTACCTTCTTGTCTCGGTTGAACTGCTATTTCAAGAGTACATGAAATCTAATCGATGCATTTTCAAATAAAACGAAATACATACGTTACACTATCTCTTATCGTATTTTTCAAACGTGCGGGTAGAGTCATGAGTCTCTCGTTGTGGAGGCCCATCAATGGAATAAATCTCTCTACTCCAAGTATCCAGTTCGAATTATTCGTATAGCGAGAAGGTCGTAGTGATTAGCATTCACAGCTTATGTTGGAGAACGAAAGAAGTACATATGGTACACGCAACAATGCTGTTTGCAGCACATTTGTCTTACAAATCAGCACTCGATTTTAAATAGTCCATACATTGGGTAATGAAAAGCATACACAATTCGCCATTTGATGTTAGCCTGTCAGACGCAAAAAATATTTGCCGATTTTTGTGCCCGATACACGTGATTATGACGTCTATCAATATGATTGTTTGATATTCAAATGTTCCAGTAAAGTTCTGTTCCATACATCAAAACGCTCCCCTATCCGAGATAACACCCGTGGCGAGTCTCTTGCCACCACATCGAAGAATTTCTACGACAAAGTATAAAGTGGAATTGTCGGAACCTTAAAATTTTCCTTCTACTCCTCGCACTGAACGATCCTATTGGTGGAGGAAGAGCTTGGCTTCTCATCTGGTACTAATCTGTATCAACTCGGCGACCTTACATTCACCGTCTTGTGATTTTTTGCCTGCATTCATAAATACGATGCATCAAAATCTACAGTCACTCTGATCTAGATCAGTGTAAAAAGACCTAGGCCAGTTTAGTCTGATTCTCTTTACATTATTTGCCTTCACAAATACGTAACGCATTAACGCTGTGACTTATTCGATGTTGCTGATTCATATGTACGGTTAAACTGTGAAAGGGATGTATCATTTTTTCCTCTGCACGCAGCCGCTACCGATTCAGTCACTCTCGTCCCATCACAAAATACTCCAGAGACCGCATGATACGACCGATAATTTCGCCTCATTTCGAGACTACAGCTCATAGCTGCTTCTGTCTTTTAAACCTTGCTTAAAGCGCTTAATAGTTTTAATATTATATTCCAACATCGCATTTCAAAGCTACATCGAATTTGATCCCGCATCATAAGCGTTTTTGCGCTCTGAAAAAGATGTGCTCGCGACTTGTCAAATCTCTACGTGGAGAAGAAATCTGCGCACTCCATGCCTTTGACTTCCACTCATACCAATGCTCATTGCGGGCCGAACAGGCCTTACCTAGGATAAGATCAAATTTTGATCATATACACGTCAATAAGCGTACAGAGGTTGAGTTCGTAGGCTTTCTCACTAATGCAACTATTTTATAAATTTGCATTTTTCTATCAGAAAAATAGTTTAAAATTGACACAGTCAAGAGTAATACTGTATAATTCTAAGGAAAATTATATTCATGATCAGACGTACCTATGTGTATTACGGAACTCTCATTCACGAGTCTAGTCGTCATCTTGGATACCAACACCTCGTTGAATATGAATTATCATCTATTCACGAAGCGCAATTTGAAATTTGTTTGTCTGCACAGTGATGTATTCGAAACAATTGTACCAAAAGATTAAGGTGCAAGTATACAATCATAAAACCTTATTTCGCTATATCCTCCCCCACTATGCTGTGGTCCAAACTTTCGTATTTCTAAGACATTGTGCAAAAGTCAACGCATAATGAAGAACCTGTCCAATTCACCTATGCGTGCCTTTTTCAGAGCATACTTACACCCGAAGCACTCTCTTCATACTCTTTATTGAAAGGTTTGAAAAAGGCGCGGGATTCGCGTCCAATGCTACTTAAACAATGCTCGGTGAGGAAGTCGATGTATTTCCAAATTAGAACGGTCGCAGTGTATTTGTTTGTCTTGGCCAATTACCCTCGTCATCACACGAATTGATAAAGTCTAGACGAAAACCAAAAAGGAGGCGCTCTCCTAGCTCAACACTCTCTCTGACTGAGTAAGAAATTATGTACCTGTTTGCTTAGACGGGAGGGGTTTGCGACACCCCGTGGAGGAACCTATAGCGTACCCGTTTTTGAGGTGACGGGCTGGTTCATGGTTTTAGGCGCTCAGCTCAGCTCGTCTTGTCCCATGCGCACAAGTCACGCCGACTCTTGTCAGCTTCGTCATTTTGCAGCTACCCCGCTCGAGCAATACAAATCGCTTCGATCACACCAGCACATCGCAATTGATTTGCATCCATCTTGTGCGGTTTTATCGCGTCTGAGGTTGTTCGTTGGTAGGGCTGGTCCCTTTCACGCCCATGTGGGCGAGCATTCCACTCACACCAAGTGCGAAACGATTTAACCCGCAAGCTTTCTCTATCCCCATAGCCATTCGCCCTTACGAGTACCGCATGCCATAGAGTAGCAACCGCTGGGAAGTTTGTAGCCTTTATGAGAGGCGTACCTCGACGCCAAAATATGACGAGAGCACTGCTCTCAATTCGCACACTAAGTATAAAAGCGTATCATTCCACCCGTCTAAAGGGATCTTATGCCGGCTTATAATGAGTGGACTTCCGACTACCGTTTCGACTAATGTTTACAAGGTACGAGATGGACGTCGAGGTGGAACTCAGTATTCAACTTCTACTATCTGCACTCTGTTTGTCCAATTGACAGCTACAACAGCTAATGACCAGGCATCAATCTCAACACATGGAAGACTTTCATTTACTGGACGAAGTCGCGCTGCGACGGGCTGCACTACCTCCGTTCAAGCGTGATAAAAGCCGAGGGTGCGGCAGGTATAACGCGACAGGAATACGATGAGGAAGTGGATGTTTAAACTTTTATTAGCTTTCAAGTGAGTTTATCCCTTTTTCATCATTGGATTTTGGTATCAGCTCTGATTATTCTGCTAGCTCACCAAAATTTCGAGTGAATACCGGCCCCCCTTGCTCATCTAGCAGTACCGGCAAATCCCGCGGTTAGATATCATGAGCTTTCTCGGGTCATGGTAGCACGTCTACACCATCTGAAAGTCCCGGTGTATTCCCAAAAGTTATACGTTAGCTCTCAGATGCGCTTTCTAAGCTTTGCCATGACATCAAATGGTATGAGATACCTTTAGCAATTCAGAACTGTATTGCTTCTCTAGATCAGAGGGCGTTTGAGCTATTGCTTCGCCAGCTACTGTAATGCGCTTCAATATTGACTGGTTTGTGATAGCAGAATCGTGTTATTATTTCAGTATATATAGAACACTGTATGTATTCGTACCCTCCTTAGAAATAATGAAGTATACATCAAGCCCATTTTTTGCAACAGCCGTAAATAAACCGATGCAGCGCTGTCGCAATATAGTTTACGATCAAAAAGAGTGAAAAGCTGAATACATGGGTAGAATAATTGCACTCAATAAAACATTTTTACCCCACAGCAAATTCGTGAGTGTTTCGCCTGCCGATGTAATAGGTGGGTTGTTTTTGTGCATCTAGGGTGTTAGCGGTAGCATCATGCACCTTGCGCATGACGATGAATCTTATTGAGAGAATCCGATGTCGTTGCTACGAAGTGTAGTCGCGTGATCTCAGTAAGTCAGTTGCAATTATCAGCTCCTCGTTCACAAAGATCAAAGTCACTTCATGGTGGTGTCAAGATCACCTGTAAAGTTATCAAACTTAAACGTAAAATGAGTTGGAGCCTGTCGAGATACGTATTGAGTTACTTAGCGCATTCATTTTGCGCTGGATAAATCAGTACATACCTCTACCAACTCCAACAACAGTGGCAGCAATTCTCCAGCCACGCGGTCCTTCCGCGCGAGTACCTCAAAGGATATCTTTCATCCACGTTCCATTTGACGATCTGTTTGCGAATTGTCAGCGGCTCATATTCCCAATTTGTCACCTAGCACCCTGAGCGATGTTTACCAAATCTCCGCCTTAAAGTACAGTAGTTTTTCAAATATATTCGCTACCGGCAAGCCATGCTGGCGAAAATCTGTCAAGGAATCTCTTGGCTGTATCTTTACCAACGAGATTTTGCAGTCAGAGGCGAGATGAGTCACCGTGCAACGGGAGTCCATAACTATCACGATGCTAGTAGTACCGAATTCGAGTTTCCGCAGACCGTAGATAAAGAAGCTATGAAATGGATCGCAGACCGCAGATAAAGAACTATGAAATGGAATGCCAACAGTGTGCTGGAATCGGCAGGTTTGGGAGTGTTGCTGATGCATGCGCCGAGGATTGACCTGTTGACACGTCTCACACATGCCCACATAGGCACTTATCCACTTTTGAACATTGGACTACTAATAGACAATGCTCAGTAGGAATTTTTTTAATGGCCAAAGAAGAGGTATGAGCTGCCTCGTACAGTATCATGTGCTTGCATTCTTCATTCAAAGGCACCAGTACACGCCAAGTGGTATTTAAGACAGTGCTGTGATTTCTATCAGTCCTTGAGCAATACAGACATGCAGCCGCGCACTTCGATTAACGGATATCTGATTTCTTAGATGCCTTGCATCTCAATGCTTTCAGCAACTCAACACATGTTGCATTCCATCCGTACGCTAGACGTTTCGCCTCACCAGTAAGTGACATCTTCCATTCAATATACATCTTAGCTGGGCAACGCGAAAGCGTATTCGCCACAATTTTGAGCTGATATCGCCTATATTTTCTGCAAAGGTATACTCAACAGTGAAGGATACTCGTTTTGCAATTCTATGCGCGATATAATGTTACAACTTCGCTATGTGCATCAACGTATCATCTCTGAAAGTAATGATATCTTAGAACTAAGCAGGAGTACACAAAACTTAACGAGAATTGATTTTCAGTATCTTTCAGCTGAAAAGGCATAAACGCAATCACACGTTCATTACCATTGCCATATGCATTAAATGAACAGCGGCTTATTGCTAAGAGTGAAGCGTCTCAGACGACGTGGAGCTGGCGATCTATATTGGACGATGCAGATTCAAGACACGCATAGAAACTGTCCTTCGCGGCCAGAAAGAATGCTTGTTACCGTACCTTAACAGTATTTTAAAATCTTCCAAGGTGTATGGTGAAGGAAGATTCGTGTTATGTATGTATAACTTGCACTGTACTTGTCTAAATAAATGATGAAAACAAGTCATTTCCTCAACTTCTTTTTAAAAACAAGATTATCTTAATTTTTGCAAGGTCTGCCCGAAAACCATATTCTTATGCAGTGACCCAAACAAAAAATTCGCCGGCGCCAAAGATAAAACCTGTTTAGATTGTCGGACGCATTTCAAGTGCAATTACTAATCAGAAGCTCGTTAATGTATAATTTGGTCTCCACATCCGGCTCCACGTGTTCTGCACGACTATGGACGAACGTATGGTCGAAATAGGTTGAAGCATAGCCACGGTGTGGTCATTACTAGATGTTTGAATGTTGCTAGCGCATCAGAGAATCTCAGTGGCATCATGAACCGTTCGGAGCATTGCACTTGAAATACTCGCTGTAGTACTTCGCTGTCTTTCATTATCAGTTAAGATAATCATCGACTAGGCACAGGGCACTGAAGAAAATGCCCAAGTGCAACTATGTTTATGAGGGGATATTGGTTGCATTGAACTTATTATAAACGTGCACAATTCATCCTTTGCAGATGACTCATTTCGCACAGATTGTAAGCACCGACGAGAAAAAACTAACTATTTCTTGCTAGAGCCGCCTTGTGCTTTGTTCTCTTCTCTCACGGTAAATGCATCAATCACAGCAGCCTATCTCCGTGGTATGGGCAATCATCGTGTGGCGCATGTGACCCCGGGGACTATGTCAGTTTCTTAATGCATTTCCTAATCCAGGGGGAATAGCATGGCGGGTCTCTTCTCACCACGTCCTCAACAAAGGGTAAAATTAATATGTAGGTCTTGCACAAAGCTCTTCCACTTTTCTAACTTGGTGCTGGGCGAGCATCCACAATGACAGATTCATCCACGACTCATGGTGTGCTAAGCTCCTCCTCCGGTACTAGCCGTGCCATTTCGGTGACTCAATCAGCTTGCACCTCCTTGCAGATATAACTTTGCGAAGTATATTCTGTCAAAGACACTGAGAGAAGCATTACAAGTTCTAGGACTTTGTCACTCTGTTCCAAAAGTATTGCCTACCCGAGCCCGCTTTGGCTAGCACACCAAAGACAGGTTTGTCGTCCTGTCGAAGCGAGAGCGTTTTGAGTACTTATAATTCATACCAACTAACACTTACCATTTTGAGACAGTGTTCATCAAAAGTCGGCTAGCTTGAAGTGATCAATGAAGTCATATAACACACACCCTAAAGCTAGCAGTTCATGTGCCCAGCAGATATTTCTTTTTCAAGGATCCAGCACTCTCATCCAAACTGAGTACTTATTATGATGCTTCATAAAGTTATTTGTGCACGTTACTTCAAACTTCTTATTTTAGGTGGATAGCAGTGCTATGTCTATCTACACCATACTCAAGTACGTATTCTGTTAGTCCCAGTCTTTTTTGCGAAGCGGTACAGAAGAGACAAAGATGATTCACATTCATATGAAAACAGCAGACGACCGAACAGCCCTTACATCCCCACCAGACGCACTGTATTTAAACGACGACAACTTTTCTTAGCTGAAAATTGCGCAAATTATTTCTTTTGCATCCATTTCCATAAAAAATGTGTTAAAACACATTTTTGATCTGACATAAACTCAATATTTTGCGGATCAAACTTATGAAAATGCCACCTGAAATAGTTGACTTGACGAAAAGTGTAATTTTGTGATGGCTCTCAGGTCGAATCGTTTTGCAATCTTTGAGCTTGTTTCACTAATTCTCGATTGTCTACTATGACTTCCAACTTATTGAGGAAGGTAGTGAGTCTACTACTACTTCATTTGTCAGACCACTGATTACACTTCCCTGAATTATTTCCTTGAAAAAAGCCGTGAAGATGATAGCATAGTCTACCTGAAACCATCGACATACCAATGCTGGTCGAGACATCCCCTCGACAATAATTCCTCTCAGTTTAAACATCTTGTGATTTTGAACGCCTGACTGAACTCGGAGTATACTGAATTGTGCTACAATTAGCTAGCACTCCAGCGAAAGCGACATTCTCAAGCATCACTTTGTCGTCTGCCACATTTCATGAATGAAGTGGTAGAAAACGTTGATGGACTTTGTCTTGCTGCATACACAGGGGGTAGGTAGTTTGGCCAGCGCAATTGAACATCGATTATTTTCAAAAATCGTGGCGTCTTGATTGGCACACATATAGCAGAATATTTTGACCTAGCCATCGTTAGGATAAAAGAAGCCATTGAAGATATTCTTTTTTATGCACACCATATTAGTGGGACAAAGCCTACTACGCACCTCGCGATAAGGACTCGACTTATATTTTGCTCGCATATGTCCGGTCACAAAAGACTATCAACTTCAATAGGCTAATAATGGTATCCTAAGTCAGTGTTATCTTTCTAAATGTTTTGGACAATTCTGTCGGAGCATCTTTTAGTAGATAATGATTCAGAGAATAGCCGCATGCCCATTCCTTGCTTACTGACGTTTTTTCTATTGAAGTCGAAAGCACAGTCGAAGTTGGCAAGTCCGCTCGATTACAACAGTCTCCATCTAATTGTTTATCATCAGCTTTTCGTGTCACAAGAAAGATTGAGTTGTGGAGTAGATCCCGAATGATTTTTTTACATCAGCTTTCTATCTTAGTTTCCGGACAATATTAATCAAATGTATATGAGGATGGAGCGTAATGCGGTACGATATGGTCCGGTCGTGCAATTCCTGAATGTCGTATGACTAGGCTTAAAAAGATATTCGAAAAGGTCAAAAATGAAAAGCGCACTGTTTTTTTTTAAAAAAAATGTATTCATTATCTATTGCTAGGGTTCGTTTTTGGAGTAATGCATACTACTCGGAGTGCACAGACAAATTTAAAGCTCAAACGCTCGTTTCGGTTGTCAGAATGAAATCATGTTTCAACGTAGTGCCAAGCGAAAAAAGCACATTTTGTTCGAGGACGAATGGGATATATTCGTTGAGTTAAATTTTGATATTTTGTCAGGGCCTCAGAAGAGTCAAACCGAGAAACAGCTGCAACCTCCTAACCTGAGCCAGTGCGGTTGAAGGGAAAGTCTACTCCACTTTACTTCTCTTCTCTTCTCTTCTCTTCTCTTCTTCCGAAGAAAGCAAGTTATGAAAATATAAACATTATAAGGATGTTTTGTCCATGTTACTATTTGACGGCAGATCATTCAGTACCACGGGTTACTGACAGGAAACTCCATTCACTCGTGGAAGGAGTGACCGGATATTCCAGGTATTTGGGGCTTTACTCACTACCTCCATCAATAGCGCTTATGAATCTGAAAGAATAACCCGTGGAGTATGCGCAATAGATTGCAATTCAGTGCGATAACTACAATGGTACGATGGATCTTGAATAGAATCTGATCCCGTCATTTGTCATGGATGACTCTGACTCGCAGAGCGCGGAGCAAGATAGTGATTTTTTTTCTCGAGAATCAAATGGGCTTTTCCACCCATTCTAGACGTGATACTACGACGTTGACACGAGAGATACAACCACGCGTGTTGCCTCCCGATAGGGGAGGGCGTTATGATACTGCCAGGATTCCCGAGGTTAGTATTGCGTCAAACGGCTATGGCCCACACCGAGAAAGCAGTGAAACATCACTGACGCATATTCTTTCGGGCAACGAACGAAGCGGGCTTAGCAAAAAAAAGATTTCCACAATCGACACCTGATTGGCTGCTTTGTGTTCAGCATCATCAACTTGGGTAAAATTATTGTTCAGAGCTTATGGTAAAATTTGGCATCACTCTTTGCGGTGAGTATTTTGAGCGAAATAATCTCGTAAAGATACCGCCGGGACTGTATAGTGCACCAAAGACATCCAATCTTCCGGTGACCTAGCTGTATAGGCCACATCGTGGCTATGCACAAATCTTTTTTGACAATGTATTCGTCCATAGGCGCACAGAGCACACGATAACGTATATGGATACCTATACTAAAACACTTGTGAGTAGTGCTCAAGTATATGCTCTCAAATAGACTCTTCGCAAATGTATGGAAGTGTCTTTGGCGCGAACAAAATTATCTTTCTGGACAAAATTTTTTAAGTAGCAAAGTTTAAGCATATCTAACGGAGATGAACGTCGTCGCATATAGATTAGTGCTCCCGCCCCAAAATAGCTTTACGAAGTAGCTTGACTTGGTCTACTTTTTACTCAAACTAGGACCACCAATCACGATTTCTCTCAGAAGAGATGTATAAAAGTGTAGATATTCCTGATCTCAATATCGGACGCACGACATGTCTCCTATGAGAGTCGTCGTGCCACAACAACCAAAAATTTCATAAGAGCCAGCCGTGGGAGGGGTCGACCTCTACAGGCACTGCAGGGTGAGCAATTAATTACCATTTTCTACAAAGGACATTTGGTAGACCGTCAATTTTGCAAGGACTGTTTCAATACCTTGTGAAGCGGAAAATTTTCTTAATCTGAAAACTTAAGGATGTTTGAGGCTTCCATGGCGAATGTGTCTCTGGTTACGTGGCCGCTTCCAACCTGGAGCATATTTGGTCTTGTATCTCTCAATGAAAAGGCAAGGTAGCAGCGCAATTCCCGTTAGTGGGACTCGACAAATCTTGCGGCGAATAAGTCCTTGGTCAGAATCTATGATAGCTCTCAAATGGAGACAAATGGCGCTGGAATCCGCCGGATCTCGAGGAAAAAGGAGCATCAGCGTCGTGCTTTATACTATGCGAAAATGAACATGAGATGGTGTGACTTCTTGACCTAGATAGGAGCCTTCTTCCGTTTGCTTTAATCTCGCAAAAAGTGTATAGAAATTTGGCACCAGCACGGCGTGAGCTTTTGGACGGTCTAAGACCTTCATCACGGCATGATGATTAAGGCAAGATTCGGTGCGACTTTTGCGCTTGCAGTCAACAAACTAGACTCCTAGAATTGCAATGCGTAGTAGGTGTCAGCCTTAAGTGACGAAAAATTCAGCAAGTAATTAAACGACAAATTTGGTGGCTTACATAATTTTCCGCCTGGTTCTGTTGACATTCGTAACTTAAATTTCAATGCATACTCGAAACGGCGCAAGCAATGGCTGCTCGACCTCGTACTTCATACTCGCGCGTGCCACCGGCGGATTCTCATGACATCGACGAAATTGACGAGGATGACGTAGACCAGCAGTCAAATTCGCATCTAAAACGATCTCAGCAAGCGGTGCTGTGGAGCACAAGACTACATGCTTTACTATGGGTCGCCGCCGCTGGACTTGTAGCTTATGGAACTGACTTTTTCAGTGTCATCTTCACAGACCCGCGTGTCATTCGGTACGAGCAGAGTGACAAGTCAGAGCAGTTAGTAGCTAATAAATTAAGTTGTGTAGGGAATTTTTTCAGGTAGCGCTTATCTGCACAGGAATTAACATCTGCATCACGGTGTATCTAGCCCTGTATTTGCCATACATAAAGCGAATTGAGCTTGAATGGAGCGTATATTGCCCACGAGTCATCCCAAGTGCCACAATTGTGGGTGTCATAGCCACTTTCTGCTACTTGTGTGCTTTTTGGCCGATCTGGGGGCTGCTCACACCGGGACTTCTTGCACTTTTGTCCATCGGAGCGCTTATGACGGCACACTTCCTGCCGTCAATTTAAAATTTAACAAAGTGCAAAACGTGACGATCACGTATTTGTACCGAAAGACTAGATTTAAATAATAAATCGATTCACAGTTAGCATAATTCAGGGTAAAACGTTGTCGCAACCGCAATGCGTGCACTGGATGCATAATGAATCCGCGCTGTTGTCAATTAGCGTTTGTTTTCTAAATGACGGGTCGGCAGAGCATGTGTTGCTAAATGACACATACAAGTCAATTTGATACTCAGGTGAGACTGAACAAGGTACTTACCGGTGCGTTATAAAGGCATTTACAATCTTTTCCCGAAAATCTTCAAGCAATGAAGTATACACGCACTTGGCACGGAATGTGAAGCCACAGCTGCACAAAATAAAGGGAGTAGACGCTTGTGCATCCTTGTGTTCTCGAAGGTAGCCCGCTTTACAACTGGGACATAGTACTTGAATAGAAGTATGCTGCTGCTCCTTAGCATTCGAATGCTCTAAATCGTCCATAAGTTCCATACCTGCTAACATGGCTTCAAGCTCAGCGTCTTCAAGTTCGGCCATGTGCTCAGCTAAACGCAGCTCATTGTCTCCCTCTTCGTTCTTCTCTTTCTCAAATTCATGACGCAGCGCATCCTCTAGCGCATGGATAATCTCTAAATATTCACTTTCTTTCAAATGACCTAAAAGCAACATGTCGTCTACGGAGACTGCAGCAGCAGGAGAAGCGGATAGCGAAGCCTTGTGCTGTTCATTGGCCACAAGAAGCTGTATTTCCTCCGAGACACTTGATGAAGACCCTGGACTGCGAAGCTTAGCCATCAGCTGAGCACGGTCTCTTTTAATTCGCTGCAGACAGCGCTGATGAAGCTGCGCCTTACATACAGGTGGAGACAATGATAAACGCTTAAGCGGTATGCGTTGTTTTAATGGTGGTGTCATTTTGATTTTCCAGTTGTTTCCTATTTCAAAGTACAAAAACTCATAACTGTAAACTGGAACACGCTCTATTTATTTGGGCTAAGTCGACCTCGTCTTGTGTCTGATACATGAGATGCGTCATTTCCGATTCGGTAATGCTATGAAGTACCAAGAACGTCGTATACTTGGCTTGCAACTGCCGAAAGGCTGCTAGCTCGTACAACACATCGTAGTGCAAGACTTGACTGCGCATCTTCTTTTGAGTAGCCGACCACGACTTGAGCCCACGGTCTCGAGCATTTGAATACATTTTTCGTTTGTCACATAACAATTTACGCAGCACTTTTACCTTAAGCGAAAGAGGAACTTTCGCAGAAACAGGCACAAGTTGGTTTGGTGACGGCACTTGAAGCAAAGACAAGTGGTTACTACAGCGACAATTCTTTTTGTGGTTTAACAAATGTTCATCAAACTCTGGCGACTCAGTAGACAAATTCCGATGGATTTTGCAGAAGTCAGCAGTGTGAAATTGAGTCATTTCTGTCGTATTATGCCCCATATTATCCCGACGAGTTTGTGCGGTACTTATCGATTTTGTTCGTTTCGAAGTTCTGGAAAAATGAGAGATTGGCGAAGAATTTGCACTTTTCAATGATTGAAAGTCTATGGTAGCTCCACCCTCAAGCATGCGTATAGCACCGCCACTGCGGGAATGCCGATGCATGCCATTCAAACGTTTAGACTGTTGTTTTTGTGGCTTTTCGTCTCTTATTTGTTGAAGCATGGCAAGAAGTGATGAATCTTTCCGGGATCGTGAGTCAGAATCGCTGGGCAGCAAATTTTTTTCCGATGTCCCAACACGATGACTTTTGATCCTGCGCTCCATATTCGCCCAAACAATTAGCAGTAACTTGACCCGTGCAGCTGTAATGGCTCGCCAAGAGCGCCACATTGATTGAAATTCTCGCACGCGTTTCCGAAAGCGCAAGATAATGCGCCGAAATTTGACGTCTTGGAAGTCAAACCATGCTGTCACGATAAGTACCACATCACTCCTTCGTTCACGATGATGCTTTTGCTTAAGCCAGACACGAGCACTTCGCTGTAGTTGAATCACTGCAACAATAAACGAAGGCATGCGAAAAGCTGCCGACGACAGCGAAAAGGACGGTTGAGAGCGAGTCAGTTGCAAAAGACGTCGTTGTCGCCAAAACCGTTGAAGCCGCTTAATCATTTCTAGAAAATTTTGGTGAGATTTCTTAAATTCAAGTAGCCATTTGTTCGAACTACCAGCAAGTTCGACAATGACTAACCACTGACTCTGTATGTCATTGTGACAACCGAATTTTACGCATTGGTCGTGACAAACCTGCCAGCGACTGCTAGTGCGTTGCATTTTATATTCCCTTGCAGCATCCAACTCCTGCTTGCGCTTGTTTGCTTGATTTATTTTGCAGTCGGTGGCTGAAGGAAGTAAAGGCGTCTGCAAGCGTTTATGCAAACCTTGCGTCCTCGGGCTGATACAATTTTTGGCTACGATGTCAGCGCCATGCTCTGCAATATGCTGCTTCTTTTCCCGTAAACGATGAGCCTCTATTTGCTTCAGCAGATTGGGCACATTACGCAACTCATTTATCCGCGACGAGAGGCTGCGCGAGTGAAGAACCATAGCGGTTTCGTGTCGCATGACACTTCGTCTTGTATAAAGATGGCTTACATCGATACTGGGCTTTTCAGGGTAAACAAGCAACGCTGTTTCGGTTGGTGTAGCTGCTGAGATCTCTGGTTGGGACTTGAGCAAATTGTTCTGGGCCCTAGCATTGTATATCGGAAAAAATTGCGATGTCTGCTCGGATGTCTCCGGTAACTTATCGTGATGATTGTACTCGTGATCAAACGGCATGTGCTTTTTTGGCCGTGCAGCTGCAACACGCTTGCTGTAGGTCGAAGTCAACGTCGGATAACTCGTCGGTTTCATCGGCAAGCGAACTTCGTCATTCTTTCCTATCACTCTTACATGCGACTTGCTAAGATTGGAAGTATCCTCTAGCAGCTTATTGGCCTCTAACTGCTTTGTTTCTCTCAGTCGATGCCGATATATCAGCCATTCTTCAGGGGCTTTCAATGCTTCAAAAGCCTTTCTCGATTCGTTTTCACAGTTGGAGCCTTGATAAACATTTTCAGATTGAAGTATTTGATTCAAAATGTTCATTGTGGCAGATGCTTCATCAGCACACTTATGTGCATGACTGCCTGGAATTTTCGGCGGGTCTTTTACGTTCATGGTCAATCTCGTATTTGCTCGAAGTCTTTGCTGAGCCAGCTGAGGTGCTGATACAATTTTCGTTTTGATACTTTCGTGAAAAAGACGGCAATGGTCATCGTCTACAGCCATCGCATCAGACGACTGTTCGAGCGATGATTGTTGTGCAGCGATTGCAGCGTAAGTTTCGGCATTATAAGATCTCAGATGAAATCCATCTCGAACAGTGAAGGTCTTCCTGAATGTGTTGGATTCCTGTCGATTCTTCATATGCTGAGTTGAGTCAGTAACATACATATTTTCTTTCTAGCCAGCAGACGTTGGTTGGTCAAGTCCTCAAGAATGTCTCAGGCATACAATGATTTGTAAAGAGATAGTTCTCACTAGAGTGCACTCGTGGTGGTACAGGCGGGGAAGCGAAAGTCAAAGCTGTATAACGAGTTCAAAACAGGTAAATCGCTCACGTAACGAGAATTAGTAAGAAATAACTTTAAAATTAGATTTTAGTGTGATAGGGTGCTATCAACACCTCCCAGCCCATCTCTTTCAGGGACCGTATTCCTTTCAATCACCACAGTCTTCCATAGCCTAAAAATTCGAAGCCTACAGAGCCGTCGAGGCGCCCTTCTACACCAAGTGCTTTAAAGTGCTAAGACTTCGAAACACCGAAGGGATCTGCTTGCGGTGCTGTACGTAGCATTCTAGGTAACTTCACAAACAATTGCCGGAAACATCATCGTGTGCCATTATATTGATAACGAGAACAGTGATTGAGAAGTACGCTGTGGGGTTTCGACAACACGTTAAAAACGATGTACGAGTCGAAATTTTAGGCGCTGCTCAAATCAGCGCCAGACACGATTCAGTGGATGGAAGCATAACGGCGCGAGAGCACGCAATTAGGATTCTGAAGACGGGCTCTGTGACGGGTCACACGGCACCTTGCACAGAGGAAGCTTGACTTCCAAGAGTATTCAAACTCTAAGTGA